GTAAGGTGAAAAAAAAACTTTCCCGTAATTAAAAAAAGAGCTTAAAAATGCAAGAACCAGAGATACTTAAACTGCTCCACTTGTGGCAGGACCTCATCCTGGAGAATGCATTCTATCCTTTTCTGACTCAAGACTATGGTCTCAGATTTAGAGGAGCCAATTCTCATTTTTACCTGCTAAATGGGTTTAAATCTACAAACAACATTTATAATTTGTTGTTTACATCTCTTCCTTGTATAATCTGTTGGTTTTGATTGAGAAGGTAATAACCTATTCTTATACTCACTGTACTTGAATTACCGCTTTCATAGTTTGACATCAGAACATCTGAAAACCCAGAAGGGAACAGTTTCCAATATGAGATCAGAGTAAGGCAGCCGTTGTGTTTGATGGTGCGTGTATCATTACAGCATTCTCCCCTAAGACCTGTGTGCGTCATCCGGTTGCTTCTCATGCGAAAGCCTCTCAAGGGCAACAGCTCCACTCGCCATGACTCAGACAGAAGCAGAGATGCCTTCAAGGTAAAGCATTTACAGCCCTGTGTTACTCAGGCCACGCTGCTTCCACAAACAGATGAGCAACAGCAGAAGAACTCATGTTAACATTCAAACTGTGCTCATCTCGGACGTACGCAGGGACGGGTTCATGTGTTAAGAGGTTAAATCCTCTCGGAGCTGAGGTTCAGCCTCAGGTTAGTTTGATATGAACCAGGAGGTCTCAGTGCTTTCCGAGATACTGTTTAACACACACACACACACACACACACACACACACACACACACACACACACACACACACGCACGCGCACGCACACGCACACGCACACACACCTTTTGTATATTTGTATAATTCTTTGTGGAAAAACAAACTAGTTCTGAAATAAACGGTGAAAAACCGTGGACAGTCAGCTGCTGAGGGAGTCAGAAGCAGGGCTAGAACAGGTTGATCTTTAACAACAACAACAACAGAGATAAATGCAGCAGACTCACCCGACCATTGGTCCCTCTCGTTCCAAACTGTACACCTGCCGAGGATTCAGAAGGTACCTGAGCTTCCTTAGCACACTAGAATGTGATCAAAGTGGAAAGAAGACATGATGAGGTTCTGTGTGGGACTAAAGACCAGTAAAGAAACACACATGACCTGTAGCCTCTGGTGCTACAGTCTAGGTGTCACCAACCTTTGTGAAGCTGAGAGCTACTTTACGATCCTTGAGCCGTATGAAGGGCTACCAGGTTGATACACCAGGTCATGTGCACAATGCTGTCCTCTGACCTAGAGTAGGATTGAGTTTAACTAAGCTCTGTGTGTAATAAACAGATTTTAAGGCTTAATTAACTATAACTTCCAAATCTATTTAAAGGGACTTTACGGACTTTTGTATTTTTATGCTCGCGATTGCCCCCTCAGGCCAAAAGCGTAACGGCAGCTTCAATAGTAGGCTCGTGCACGAGGCGCGCATGCTGTACGTGCACACTCCTTAACGAAAATAACAGCTGAGACAGTCCCTTGTGTGTGTGTGTCCCGGAGGACAGAGGACATGAGAATGTGCAGCTAATTAATTAAATAATTTGGTTCTGTACCTTTCTCTTCAGCACAGCCGACAAAGGTTTATGATGGGTCAGTCCTCCTGCATGCTCAGATCATTCCCTTCCCTTGCTTGAAAAATTGTTCCAAAATGAAAGTTGAACCCACATCTTTTTTATCTGTGAATTCAATGCTGTTCGGCGAGTCTCAAATAAAAATTTGGGCATCCTGCTGTAAAAAAACTATACCATTAATGTAAAAAAGAAACTAAATAAACTATGTTCACACCCAGAATCAAACCCCAGGTCTTCTGCATGGGAGTTAGACATCTTACAAGGTGGGCTACACTCAAGTAACATTCACAGTATCTGTAACTTTTATATCCTTGATGACAGCTGAAACAACGTCAAACCAACGAACGTTTCTGAGCGAAAATGGCTATTTTGTTGCTAATTTGCAGGAAATATCTAGAAGAAAGTTATACAGAAAGTAGCTAAGGGTCCTCAGAAATGTAGCTAGGTTCATCACTAGGCGTTAGGAACAGTGACAAAGTCGCTGAGTTGGCACTACCTCTCTCTCTGCTGCTAAAGCTACGGATAGCAAATGCTACGGGCTATGCCTGAGCGTGAACGCGCATGAAGCAGCCTGCTCGACCCGAGCAACTCTCTTTTTCTGTGATTTTACAGAAAAACAGGCAATCACAGTAAAAATGCCAGGGCTCATTCTACAGGACCAGGGCATTGCAGGAGAATGTATGAAGAAGACATTTATTATTTCTATACATGTTTTGGCTGTCAAACTTCCATAATGCCCCTTTAAATAAATGTGTGATAAAAAATCTTTCTCTGTGGACGTGTCCTTTCAAGAGTTGCCAAAGCCAGTCGTCTTCATTGAGTCCTGTCTTCTGCATCCTCTACTCTCTCAGCCTCCTACCTGGTGGCTCCAACCTCAACATCTGGACATGTCCAGCCTATCACAGTCTGGCCTCTCTGACTTTTTCTCCAGAACATCAAACATGAGCTGTCCCTCTGATGGACTCATTCCTGATCCTAATCCTGGATTTCAGCAGAACGTGACTCTGGCAATGAAAAATAACTGGTGTGGAGAAACAAAATAAAGCGTAAATGTTTGAAAATTTCAGAATAAGTCTCTGCGGGAAGCCATGTTCCTGCACACATCTGTACCCTGATACTCAATAGTAACCAGGTCCACCTTAACCAGTTGACAGGCCCCGGGGCAAAGAGGCTCAGTAACCCCCCCCCCCCCCCCCCCCACACACACACACACACACGTCTTTTGTATTCTTTAGTTTGAGCTCCGAACAGCAGCGCTGAACTAAGAGGCTTTAGCTTTTCTCCACTAAAACGAAGCTAAACTAGAACTTGTTTCATCGGTGATGACGTTTAACACTTAAACCAAAATAATCGTCGTCGTCGTCTTCCTCCGCTTATCCGGGTCCGGGTCGCGGGGGCAGCATCCCAACTAAGGAGCTCCAGACCGTCCTCTCCCCAGCCACCTCCACCAGTTCCTCCGGCAGGACCCCAAGGCGTTCCCGGACCAGATTGGAGATGTAATCTCTCCAACGTGTCCTGGGTTGAGCCGGGGGCCTCCTGCCGGCAGGATATGCCCGAAACACCTCCCCAGGGAGGCGTCCAGGAGGCATCCTGACCAGATGCCCAAACCACCTTAACTGACTCCTTTCAATCCGGAGGAGCAGCAGTTCTACTCCAAGTCCCTCCCGAATGTCCAAGCTCCTCACCCTATCTCTAAGGCTGAGCCCGGCCACCCTACGGAGGAAACTCATTTTGGCCGCTTGTATCCGCAATCTTGTTCTTTTGGTCATTACCCAAAGCTCATGACCATAGGTGAGGATTGGGACGTAGATCGACCGGTAAATCGAGAGCCTGGCTTTCTGGCTCAGCTCCCTCTTCACCACGACAGATCGGCTCAGCGTCCGCATCACGGCAGACGCTGAACCGATCCACCTGTCGATCTCCCGATCCCTCCTACCCTCACTCGTGAACAAGACCCCGAGATACTTAAACTCCTCCACTTGAGGTAGGACCTCTCTCCCGACCCGGACCAAAATCATATTTTTTTAAATTCCAAACATTTTTTGTATTTTATAATTATTTTACCTGACAAAAACAGTTATTCACACAGCAAATTCAGCATGCTCAAAATAACTGTCAGAGTTGATTTCAACGCTTTTAAAGTGTCTATATGGGTCCACCCCAGTAAGTGTTGATTTAACACTTTTTGAAGAGTTGGTACTTTAACTCTGATTTAGTGTTAAAAACCAACTTCTCTAGAGTTAAACATCTGACACTAAATCAGAGTTAAAGTACCAACTCTTCAAAAAGTGTTAACTCAACATTTACTGGGGTGGACCCATATAGACACTTTAAAAGTTTTGAAATCAACTCTGACACAAGTTATTTTGAGCATGTTCAGTTTGTTGTGTATACTACAACCAGTGTTGGTTTTCAGAGTCAGTTCACGCTCAAGTTATTAATCTCCACCATAATATCATGAATTTGAATATTTTTCAGTGTGCCATGCCAGGAAGCTACCAGCTACACTGGCAAACACGAGCTAACTCATACCTTGTACACCTCATGACTGCCATCAGTCAGTGGGTGAGGATTACAAGTACAGTCCTGAGCATGTACTATTAACCATGCACCATGTTATTATTGTGATAGTGGAACCCACAGTGGTCCCATTCTTTTGACCGGCCTCCTCAATTACGGTACAAACATGACAGAACAAGCAAAACCACATTTGCAACAGTGAAAAAAGTACTAAGAACAACACAACTCTGCAAAATAAACATGCATAAACACCTCAAAATAGAACTAACCAACTAAAAACATGACTACCCACAATGCACCTCGCCCACTGCAGCTCTCTGCCTCAAAGGCCCCTGGCCACGGCCCGGCCCCGGTTGGCCCGTGCATTGAGGCTGCCTTGATAGTAACATAAACCATGGTGGTAAAGTGTAGGCAGAGTGGCTGGAAGTGGCCCTGCTCCTAAACCCAAGTCTGTGCTGGGACCCGGTTCTAGATCCGTTTCTGTAAATCTGACTGAGTCTTATGGCTGTGGCAGCCATCTTGAATTGGGTTGGCTCCAAAGGCTGTTTGGTTGCAAACATTCATGTCATCATTACTTTCTGGAAGCCATCTTGGTTTTTGGTTTTGGTGTTAAGAGCCCCATACAAAACGAGCTGGATGACACCTACATACAGCTGGGTGGACTCTGACTGGGTTCCACAGAAATCCCAACGTGAGGCTTCATTTAGTTTATCGACCCTTTAGATGCTTAAACTCTTCTCATGCGCTCATCACTTCCCTTTGTGAACACTCATCTGAATGCGTGTCTAACACGCTTGTTGACTCCAGCTGGCAGGAGCGTTTCAGTGAACAGAAACAATAACTGCATCCATTCACATCACTTCCATTTATTTGCACTTTTCTATGACTAGAGAATGATTTGCTGTCTCACTGTACAGTGGGAGAGTGCGTTGCCATGGTGATACATCAGATGGAGGGAAAGCAGCAGGATATGATTTGTCAAGATAGTTGTGAAGGAAATGGGGAATAAAGCCACAATGAAGGCTTTTATTTTACACTCTCCATCTTCAAATGACATAAGAGCAAACATCAACAGGGAGACGAAGCCATGGAGAGTGTGGCAGAAATAGGGTTGCTCTCAACTTCCACACCAGACTCAGATAAAACCAGCTCTAAATATAGTTTAGTGCCCTTGTCTAAATCACTCATCCTTTCAAAGGGACCTCTGTCTGCCTGCAGCTTTTAATACTAATGTCATTATTTGTGTCTGAGCTGAGAGCCAGCTGTGTTCATCAGAAGTAAAGCCTGAGTTTTATGTTATTTTCTAAATAAAGTGAGAATAAAAAGAGGCTGATCCTGGAACAGTAATCCTGGTTGTTCTTCACCTGTTGAGGTCATGCTGCCTCTGATGTGTCCGGCTTCAGCTTGCACAGCGCTCAGTCGCTAACAAGTGCTAATGGCTCCAACCTGCTCCATGGTGGCTGCAGTCTATAATGAACACTGTTTGGTTTGTGAGCCTGAGAAGGATCAGAGAGGAGGTGGAGTCAAGGAGCTCTTTCTGTTCCTGCTTTGTTCAGGTGCTGACTGCCTGGTGAGATGCACCTGCTCCAGCCTGATGAAATCACCTCCAACCCCCTGGAACATCTGACCTTTAATCTATAAGATATCCTTGATGCTTGTAGCAGTCAGCTGATCGCCTGACACCCCTCACTCCTACACTGCACTACAAGACAAGGGGGCAAGCCTTCGTGTACGTAGCTCCCACTCTCTGGAACGCGCTGCCGCTCACTTTCAGTCAGTCACCATCCATTGTTGTCTTCAAGTCACAGTTAAGACGCACTTTTACGATTTGGCTTTTAGGTAGTGATTTTTACTTGTTCGTTGTGTGTTTTGATCGCTGCTTTATCTGCTTTGACGGTTTTGTGGATGAGACAGATGAGACGTACCGCTCGCCCTGCCTTCCTCCACTTTTAGGGTTGACCAGGACCAGGAGCGGATGGCTTCCTGGGCGAGTGGTGATCTGCAGACGGGAAGCAGAAGCATTACGTCCACTTTGTGGCGTTACCTCAGCCTTCTGGGTGTAGCTGCACCACACCTGTAATGCCTGTCCATCTGCAGGAGAAAATCTAAATGTCTGGTTGGGGTCGTCAGGAGTGGAGATGAGGGGCGACTCTCCCTCGCCACGCTTCACGCCAGAATGACGATCCTGCGGTAAAAGGAACAGATCAGAAGATGTTTCACACACACCTCGTCTTATTGCATGAAATGCCCAGTGATGAGAAAAGAATCAGCATTAAATCAGGGTGTCAGTGATTCTTTTGTGTGGCAGACAAAGGTCTGATGCCGGAGCCCAGAAATAGACTCATCAGTGAGCATGAAATGAAAGCAGGTGGTCGGAAGCCTCAGCGTGGTGTCGCTGGAAAGTTTTAGAAGGCAGCTTGTCACAAACACAGCTCCATTCATGTTTAAGTGGATTCACCCTTTACTCTCACAAAGAGGGCACTGAAATATAAATTCTTCCAGGTCTATCATATTTATTAGCAACATTTCAGTGGAGGTTGCATCTTCGACATTCCGGGAAAACATTTATCCAAAGTCATCTGGAACCAGGAGCGATCCGATCGTCACAGGAAGTGTGCTTTCGAGTCTACAAACCCCAAACGGGAGAGATTTCTTCTGGGACACTTTAACACATCTGTCTGTGCTTTACCGAAGACGGAGAGCATAGAAGGCTTGTTTTAGTCTGCATAAATCTGCAGAGACGAGAGTAACAACCGTCTTCATATGGAACCAGTAGTTTGATGTGAAATGGAAAAAGAAGAGATTATGCAAACAGTCCAGTTCAGGTGATGCATGTAAAGAGCAGCAGCATGCACCTCACACACACAGCCCTGACCCAGTCGGCCAGGACTCGTATAAAAACAGACACAAACCACATCAGACTGAGTGTTTTTGTTAAGAACAAGGCCAGGGAGACGTATCCTCACCAGGACAACGGGGCAGATGCATGAAGGCAGCAGGACGTGGTCCCTCAGGACTCCTCCGTCACACTCAGGCTTCACATTAGATGCACACTTGTTATGAAGCTGCAGATGAGAAAATGACACGTATGAACTGTGGGTATGGGAGTCTGACCAGCACCAGCCTCCCTGAGGTCCTTCCGGCTGTGTGTTGGTCATTCTATAGAAATAAAGACTCCACTAGAGAAGGAAGCATTAAGGAAGGTCTGAGCAGTGGCTTCAAACCAAACTCTGACACAGCAGCGGCACCTAGTGGCAGAGGAGGTAGTGGTCCCCAATACCCACCAAGGCCCCATCTGGCTTCACAACGGGACCTCCAGCTTGAGTTTTGGTGAAGTTTTGCATTTTTCTTCTGACTAAAATTCAGATTATGGTATAAAGAGTTCCAGAGACTCGCTGCACAGCTGGTTTTGGTTTCTCCGTTGTTGCTGTCTCTTTCAGCCATCTAAACTCACACACAGAGCCCTAAAGGAGCCAGTAAGCAGCCACCAGGCTCTCATACATCATCACTGCGACTCACCGTGATCTGACACCACACACAGTGCAGGCCCGTCAGACCCTGGTAGCTCTTGATGCTTCGGTGACAGCGGTCACATTTGGTGGGAGAGTTCCCCTCCATCCACACATGCTGCATGGCCTAGATGAGAGCAGAGACATGTCCACCGTTTCAGTCTCAGTTTTCCTGTAATGTCCTTGTTTAGACATCAATACTAGCTAAAAACTAAAGATCCATGAAGCTGAAACCTTTTTCATGCGTTTCACTGAAAAGCAGAATTCTGGGACTCTTAACGGAGCTCTTTAGGTGTGTTTGTACTCACGTTGGTGTGTCTGCGTGACTTTGCGTACGTGCTGATGCAAGGACTGATGTCTTTGGACACGCAGCGTTCGTGTACTGTGTACTTGCATACTGAACAGAAACAAGGCAGAGATTATAGAAAATCCTGCACTTACACTAACAGACAGCTAAACATGGCCTCTAGGTGGTTAACGCCAGTGCAGACAGCAGCCTAGCAACGTGGTAATAAATGACACTTGTTGCATTGTTGATGTGATTAATGATGGATGTAAGGACTGAGGAAGAAAAGGATGACTCTGTTACAGAGGAGAGGAACACCAGACGGACTCACATGAGCAGCAGAGGCCCTGCTTACGTACACCGAGCAGCATGGTGTGGCAGTAGTTACAGTAGGCTGGTTTGTTGAAGTGCTTCAGGCGCCAAACATGCTGCCCGTCCTCCTGCGCGTTCTGCATCACCACAGCAAAAAGGTGGATTTAGTTGGGATGAACTGTTTCTGCAACTCAAATGGGTCCTTTTCAGATTTCTAATCACACATCTTTTCACTTCTTGTCCAAATTAGGCCTAAAATGTAGGAAAACAAACCAGGAGGCAGAGTCGGGCGGTTCACTCCACTCTCAAAGCACCAACATTTACCGTATCCATGCCCAGCAGGACCAGTAAAGGAATGGTGGTGAGGCCTCCTCTGATCCACTCCTCCAGCGTGACTGCCCCGTCTCGGTCAAAGTCTATCTCCTCCATCGTCTCCTTTAGTATCTGATGTGATGGAGAAATACCGTTCATACCATCAGTGGGAGGTGCAAGGTGATGTTGACAGGTCACTGCTGTATTTGTACTGCTTACATGGTTCATGTGTAGAAGTAGAAACACACAAAGCTTTGGAGTTTCACCAGATCATTCTAGACACGTGCATGCCTCGTTTGTGTACATGCAAGCACCCACTGCAATGGCTCAGATGAAAATACTGATAAACAAACATCAAATGTAGGTCTTTTATAGAAACATTCTTTTGTTTTAACCCTTTTTTTACAAAGCCAGCAGGACAAGGAAATCTGAAAAATGCTCAAAAGGGCACCCCCACCCCACCAAGCAGTTCAGCAGATACAAAGGAAGAAAAGCAAACATATTCATGTGTATGTTGTGTTTTTTCTACTCTCCTGTAAAGCTGCACAATGGTCAGGAAACGCTGGAGAGGGCATGCCCTTTTCTCTAGTTTTAGATCATCTTTCTGATCCCCGTGAGTGTTAACAGGATGAGTCTTCAAATATTTCCTGGCAAGCAGAGTGAAAAAGGTCCAAGAGCACCCTCTGCTGCATGGCATCAAGCAATGAGAGAAACCACTAAACATTTACATGCTCTCCCACATAGTTCAGGGACATACATTGTGTCTGACGCTGTGGTAAAAATGCCATTTCAGATGTGATAACATTTACAAAGGTTGCATTTGGAATGAAGTTATCCATGGATTCTATCCCAGGTTACTGTGGATTTTCACAGTGAAGTTAATGAGCTCCTTGTAAGGCTGCTCTCATAGACGGCCTGTACCTGTTTTGTCTACATCAGGGTTACTCACATACAAATGGCCAAGGGCCACATAAAAAAAGTTCTATGTCACGGGGGTGTCAGAAACACCAGTTTTTTTGGCCTCGGCTGACTTTATTTTGAAAGAGCTAAGGTCTTATCTGGTGGACTACACCAGGTTTGTGTCGCTGCCTATTAGATAATGTGTGTCCAAACTGGAAGTTTGTGAAAAAAGTACAAACAAATACGAATGAGGATGCTCAGGGGTGGCCAACGCGCGGCTCTTTGCCTGGTTTCATGCGGGTCTTACGTTCATATCTAAGTCTGTGTTTTTTTAATGTGCGTGTTACAAGGACCACCGTTTTTTAACGTTGACATAAAAATATGAAGGCCGTCCGTCATTCACCTGTCTGTGTGTGTGTGTGCGTGCGCGCGCATGCCTTCGGAACACACACAGACACACACACACACACACACACACACACACACACAGAGCTAGTCTCTTCTCCCGTTCCCACTGAGTGGCAGCTCCGTGCTACAGACAGAAGTTTACTCAACAGCATCCAGCATGAAAATGAATCCCCCCCCCCCCCCCCCCCCCCCCCCCCCCCGCTGGCTCACTCTTCTGGCAGATCGGAGGCGGTAGGCATAATTTCAGCTGGCCAATCAGTCCATAGTGTCACCTTGGTCCCAGTCTGACTGCTGGGGAGAAGGTCTGAGAAAAAGAGTCGCCTCGGCACAGAAAACGCAAATCTGGCCAGTGTGTGAAACCAAATTCCGGTGCCATTCGATACCTTTTGGGGCTGTGCCGACGCTAATGAATAAGTGCCAAGACAGTGTTTACCAACATGGATCTCTGGAACCTTCATGATTTTCATGTCTCTGCTTCAGCACACCTGATTTACATTGGCTCCTCAGGAGGACACCTGCTGCAGATGCCTGTTAATCACTCATTTATGTAAGTCAGGTCAGGTGTGTGGCAGCAGGGAAACACCGGTGTTTCCTGTAAATGTGCCCTTGTCAGCTGTAGGGTTTTAAAATGCGTAAGAACTCGTCTCTGATTAATCAGAGGGATCGCACTAACCTATGAGGCCAACTTCACACTGATTGGTGTTCCCATGATTGTCTGTGAGCCCCATTTGGTTCCATGGCAAAAAGGAAGGAAGAAGAATGCATCTAAACATTTTCAACAAGACTTTAATGCAGCAGAGAGTGCGATTGCTCACCGGTCGTAGTTCTGTTGAATCCCACTCCAGATACTCCGCTACATGCACCATCTGATTAACAATACGATCCAACTCCTGCGAAGAGAGAGAACACACACAGAGGTTCAAACTGTTGCTTTATCTTCAACAATGATGTCATTTATATGTATCAGTGGGAATTATGTGATTTTGATCTGAACCATTATTATATCATTTAGTCGACTTAGTTTTTCACACCACTGTATGAGACATAATCAAAACGAACTTAGACCATAACGTAATCTAAACCAAAACAATATTGGCTCCTACACACCAGCAGCACAATTAAACAATGACAGAATAAGGAGCCAAAACATGTCCCATGTAGTATCCTCTCTCCATCCTATGCAGATGCTTGAAGTAGGAAGATCTTCGAGATGGGCCTCTCCAGCTGTCCAGTCTTTGTTTTCAGCTGAACTGTTCGAACGAGTCTATCTTTACCAGGATAGTTGTTGAGTATTTTTCCAAGAATCCTTGATCCACGAGGCGCAGCATGATCCATCACCACGACGACGTCTCCCACTGCAAAGCTTTTTTGAGGCTTAGACCATTGTTGTCTTTCTTGTAGCAAAGGTAGATACTCTCCAATCCACCTTTTCCAAAACAGGTCTGCCAGATACTGAACCTGCTTCCAGCGTTTTCTGATGTAGCAGTCTCTTTCTTCAAATACACCTGGATCTAGAACAGGGTCCCCTTTGAGCAGCAGAATGTGATGTGGCGTGAGAGCTTCCAGATCATTTGCATCATCAGAGACTGTAGTTATGGGGCGATCATTGGGCGATCATTTAGAATGGTGTCCACTTCACACAAGAAGGTTTGTAGATTTTGATCGTCCAGTGACTGCTGTTGAAGGGCAGAAAATAATACTTTTCGAACCATTCTAATAAGACACTCCCAAACTCCTCCATGATGGGATGCAGCAGGTGGATTAAAAGTCTAGTCAACCTCTTAGGAAACCAGAAATTGATGAATTTTGTTCTGTTCCACCGCTGCCAAAGCCTCTCTCAGTTCACGTTCTGCACCAACAAAATTTGTGTCATTATCTGACCACATCTGGCGAACTGGATCTCTTCGACATATACAACGTCTTATGGCGTTGATGCAAGAATTAGTTGTTTGTGAGTGTGCCACCTCCAGATGTATAGCCCGGTTTGCCATGCAGGTAAAGATTACGCCGTATCGTTTGACCATGGCACGTCCTCTTTTCACCTCTATGGGCCCGAAATAATCCACACCTACGTTAGTGAATGGTGGCAAATCTGGACTGATGCGTTCTTCAGACATTTTCTGCCAAGATGGCTGTGCTCTTTGTCGTTTACAAATAATACATTCGAAGATTATCTTCCTGCAAGCTGAGCTGGTACTAGTAATCCAGTATCTTTTTCTGAGAGCTGAGAGTATGTGGTTTCTTCCTGCATGCCCAAGCTGCTGGTGTGCATGCTGCAAAAGAAGCTTGGAAACATGTTGGTCTTTGGTGAGAATAGCAGGATGTTTCTGCTCCTGGGGTATAGCCGACCGGCTAAGTCTTCCACCCACTCTCAGTGAACCATTCTTGAGTACTGGATCTAGTTTATAGATGTCGCTCTTGGTCTTTACGACAGAAGCACCACTCTCCAAAGTGCTGATTTCTTCTTAGAACCTTTTTGACTGGCAGTACCAGATGATTGCATTTTCAGCTTTGAAGAGATCATATTATATTATTATTATATATTATTATAAAGAATAAAACAGGCAGAATATACAGTAAAGATATTACCGGCCCATTGCTTTGGCCATTACTCTGTCTAAGGTCCTGGAGAGGGCTATTTTGATGAGACTAGAGGAGTTTGTTTTTACATCAGATCATCAATTTGGATTTAAATCGAATTTAGGTACAGACGTGTATTTTTGCCTTAAAGGAAATTCTGGATCAGTACAGCAGGCACAATACGACCATATTTACATGTTTCATTGATGCTTCTAAAGTATTTGATCGTGTTAATCACGAAAAGTTGTTTTTAAAACTGCTCGACAGGAATGCACCTAAATATCTGGTGAGGATTTTAGTATATTGGTACGGCCACCAGTCCATGGTTGTCAAATGGGGGAATGCAGTGCCCCTTCCTTTTACTGTTTGTAAAGGTGTACGACAAGGCAGTCTTCTGTCTCCTTGTCTTTTTAATGTGTACATGGATGACCTGTCCAGGCTGCTGAGTGAATGCAGGACTGGCTGCCAGGTTGGGAATGTTGTCTTGAATCATTTGATGTATGCAGATGATCTGGTAATCTTTTGTCCATGCAGTGCTGGTCTGCAACTATTGTTAAGGATTTGCTCACAATGTGGTCATGACTTTGACATAAAATTCAATGCAATGAAAAGTACCATCATGATTGTGAGGACTAAAGAGGATGTAAACAAATTTTCCCAGAGTTCCACTTATCTGACAATATTTTTCAGGTCCGGGATGAAGTTAAATATTTGGGGCACTACATCTCTGCTGACCTGTCAGATGATAGAGACATTTATAGACAGTGCTGCTTGCAGTATGCACAAGCTACTATGCTCATTCGGAAATTTTCAAGGTGTCCCATTTCTGTCAAGCTGACACTTTTCAAAGCATTTTGTACGCCTATGTACACTGCACATCTGTGGAGGAATTACAGGAGAAGTCTGTACAAACTTCAGGTGGTGTACAATGATGGGTTGAGGCTGCTGCTGAAGGTACCTCGCTGGCGCAGTGCCAGCCAGTTTTTCATGTACGCTGGCATTCCCACTTGTACTGCTACCCTTCGCAATCTAATGTACAGATGTATATGTCGGCTAATGGTCTCTGGAAATGGTATTATCTCTATCTTGTCCTCAACGACACAAAGCATTACTTGTTTATATTCTAACCTTTGGAATCACTGGCGTTGTTGCCTGTATGTCTGACTGATCTTGTCGGTTTATATTGCTATTGTTTTTAATTTAATTGTATTAACTTGCTTTATTGTTCTTAATGTGTTTTTATTTTCTTGCTATTTTTTAAACAGTTTTTTTAAATCCTCTAATCTTTATTCTTTCTGAATTTATCTATTTTTACTGTTCACTGTGTTATTATTCCCATTATGGGCCTCAAAGGCCTGGAATAAAGTTTGATGATGATGATGATGAGAATGGCTCCAGAAATTCTGGAAAGGTTTAGCTCAGCCATCGAAAGCCACGAATTTCCCCTTTCCATCTCTGAATCACTAAAAATGCTCATTCAACAAAAAGGGAAACACTACCACATCATTTGGAAATCATTTGATTCAAATGACCCTACTGCTGCTCAGATAAGGCAGTCGATCGGTTAGTTGGAATTATTTACATTTCACAGTAAATACATTTGGATTAGGTATTAAATTTCTAAATATTGTGAAAACGATATATACCAACTGGAGAGCCATGGTATCAACTAATAAATCTTCTGAAATGTTTTTAGAATGTGGGACAAAAGTGTTCCACTTCATCAGCTGCTTTTTTTTTCTGCCCTAGAACCCTTGGCTCGGGCGATAAGAGAGAACGAGGGAATAAATGGAATATTCATGATGGGTCAAAATAATAAAATGCCAACTTTTGCAGATGATATATTAATGTTAATAAATGATCCTCAGATATCGGTCCCTGCGATATTAGATGGGATTAATGAATTTTCCGAGTTTTCAGGATATAAAATTAATTAGCGCAACTTTCAAAATCACGTTATGAGAGTCATTTTGATAACCTGAAAATTCAGATGGGTTCAGAAAAATCTTAAATAGCCAGGAATCTTCCAAGTTTAGGAAACATGGTAGCTGATCATTCTGACCCTGTGGTACACAAGATCGAACTCCTAAAAGGATGGGATGCGATTCAGATTTCTTTATGGGGCAGGGTGACAGCAATTAAAGTGATTATTGCTCCTAAACCTAACTTTCTTTTTAACTCGCTAAATTTACCTGTGGGTATTAATAAAGTTACCTTGACCTTGTCTATATTTACAAAGCTAAATAGACTAACAACCCATTTTGTTTGGGCAATTAAGAGGCCCAGAATTACTCTTAAAAAGCTTCAAGCACGCATAAGTCATGGAGGTTTACAAATACCTAATTTAACATGCTGCCTTTACTTTCGCACAAATAGCCACCATCTTTTCAATAAAGATTAAAAGCCGATTTGGATTCAGTTGGAAGATGAAAAAGCGCTCCCTTTAAAGTAGATTATTTGTCTCAAATATTGAGTCCCACAACTAAATCTAATCCGATTATAATGCACACCAAGATAGTATGGATGCAGATCCACAGAGAAAAAAAAGTGTCCATTTCTCATCAGCTCAGCA